TGAGAAGTCAGGTGGCGAGAGGGTGAGAAGAGAAGGTGGACTTAGAAGAGGAAGAAGAAGAACTCTCTCTCTCTCTCTGTGTCCAGTACTAACCTATGAAGTTGGCGCCTTGATGCAGGTACCACGAAGATGGAGCTGGAGCGATGGCGCCACAGATAAGTAACACTGGCCTCCGCCAGTCTCTCTCCCACTCTGCGATCTACTACCTACCAGCGCCCAGCGCTGAAGACTACAGCTACAGCTATGGCGCCCAGCGCCGAAGAATACAGCTAGCGCTACCACTACTGCCTAGCGCTGAAGACTACTGCAGCGCTCCTCCTGAGTGTTGCGGCCGAATCTTGAAGACTACCTCTGCCTACTGCCCCCCTCCTGCACGCCGGGCCAGTCCTTTATAGTGCTGGCCCGTGCAGGAGGCTGGCCGTGCCAATGCCTCCCTGGCCTAGACCCTGCGGAAGCTTCCAGGCAAGAACTTGGAAGTTCCCTGAAGTTCCCCTGTAGGGAAACAGGCTGGGGCCTGTAGGCCCTGTCAGAAGGAAGCTTCCAGGCAAGAGCCTGAAAGTTTCCCTGTAGGGAAATAGGCTGGGGCCTGTAGGCCCTGTCAGAAGGAAGCTTCCAGGCAAGAGCCTGGAAGTTTCCCTGTAGGGAAACAGGTTGGGGCCTGTAGGCCCTGTCAGAAGGAAGCTTCCAGACAAGAGCCTGGAAGTTTCCCTGTAGGAAAACAGGCTGGGGCCTGTAGGCCCCGTCAGAAGGAAGCTTCCAGGCAAGAGCCTGGAAGTTTCCCTGTAGGGAAACAGGCTGGAGGTCCGGGACGGGCCCTGCAGGGCCCGTGTGGCTGCACAGTATGCCACATTAAGTGTGTGATTCAGAGGGTTGAATGAGGACTCTTGACTAGTGCTGGCCATGCTCCCTTCATGTGTACTTTCTGAGACTATTATGAGTTCTCATTCTTCCCTCACTTATCCTTGTCATTGCTCAAGTCAGTCAGTCTTGCATCGTCTACTATGCCCTTGTTTGATGATCATGTATTCTGATGATCCTGTCACAATTCTCAAAATTAGAAAATTGGCAAAAATTGATGCATGCATGACATACCAGATTTTTATGATTAATATTTGCATGATTCTTTGCTGTTTCGAATCAAAATAAAAGATTCCTAAGACCGGGGACCGGTGAAGACCGCAATTGAAGGGTCTCGCTCGAAGCCGGACGCACACAACAGGAAGGGATTTGCTTTAATTAATTTATTTTATTTATTGCAAACATCATCCGAAATCCTGTGTGACAGCCTTTTGGCTTTCTGGTCACTCAAAGAGGTCCGACTAGAAAAAAAGTGCGATAACGCGCGCAACACCTTGCCCTTAGCGCACAGCAGCATGCGAGCGTTTGCTCCAGCAGCGGTGCCGCACCAACTGGCAAGAAGTGCCTGAATGAGCCTCCAGGCAGCGAGCAATTTCCTATATGGAAAGAGTCTGCCTGCCCCGGCAGCCTGGCTGGGCTGGGCCTATGCCCAGAAGCTTCCGGTAGGCCCCAAGAGGCTGTGCCTCGGTTGCAGGTGCTGGGCCTCGCTCGTTGGACCTCCCAACTGTCTGTGTATGATGCTGCGATTCTTGCCCAGGGCCTGCATTTCAGAAAAGGCCTGGAAGGCCGTGGAATATCTTTGCTGCGCGGGCCTGGGTTCTCTTAACCAACTGGCGCGTCACAACTGCCTGGACCCCAAATACGAAATTGACAGCAATGGGCTCTCGTGATTTGTTAGGCCCGCCTTCACTTAGGGCGGGCACATCTGTAGCAGGGCCCCTCAGGCCTGCCGAGGACCCAGATCCTCGCAAGAAAACCCACGAAATTAAAAACAACTTAGCTACAAGAATTTCTTCACTATGAAGTAAGATTTGAAAATTTTGTTTTTCTTTTTCAAGGCGGTAGTCCCTATCATTGATGTATGTAATCCAAAAAAAAAGGGGGGGGGGGGGGGGGGGGGGGGGCTAGCAGTCCCTAACATTGACGTTGGTAGTAGGATTTGTTGAACTCGCGATCCCTTGATCTATAGTTAGAAAGATCTCTAAGTAGCATTCAGCCACTTTGGGGGCACTTTCTCAGGTTATTCTTTTGTCGATTGACGAAAAAGTATATCTGCGTGCTGTCATCAGGGCGGTGCGGGCTGGATCTGACGGCCCCAGGGCTGTGGCCCACTTGGGGAGGTTTAGTCCTGATTTCTTTGAGATCGGATGGCCCCAGGGCACTTTTCAACGTGGTCACATCGTGGCCGTTAGATTTTGAGATTGGATGGCAGAGACCCATGGATACTGGGAAAAAAAAGGCAACCTGTTGGGTGTTTGCTGTTTAGCATTCGGTCACTTTTTCTGTGTGAAAAATGCAAAAAGATGATGATGTCAACTTCTTTTGTTGTTGTTGTTGTTGGCAATACTCCATTTTCAGTGTTCTGTAGAGAGACCAATTTAGACCATAGAGTATAAAATTCTATAAATTATTCAGTAATATTAATTGAATCATAACTTATGATTGCTAATAAGCTAGGCTACGAGCCGCGCCGCCCGGGTCTCCCTGTTTTCCCAGGCGGCCCGGCCGTGCAAGGACCAGGGAAGGTCCCAGCAAAAAAAAAAAAAAAAAAAAAAAAAAAAAAAAAAGAAGAAAAACTATGTTGATGCAGAAAAAAAACAAATTGAACAAATTTGCCTCAGGGTCACATCAAAATTCTTCACCAAGTCTAGAATAAAAATATTAAAAAATAAATTTAATAAAATTAAGATTTTTTTATTTTATTTTTTCAAGTCCGGCCGGGCAAGTGGTCCAGGGCTACTCTGGTAGCCTAGCTAATAAGTTTTAAGTTCTTATTACATGGTAACCGCCCGGACGTCCGGACCGGGTTCCAGACAGTCCGGTGTCCGGTGTCTGGACAATATGTCTGGATTGAGGCCTCTGGGGCAAAAAAAAAAAAAAAAAATGGGGCGGCCCAGGACGTTTATCGGGTCCTGGATGCCCCAAGAAAAATAATGGGTTGATTTTTCAATGTCGTTTCACCCCACCGGACAGGGCCTAGAGGTCCAGACACAAGACACTGCAGGTTTTTGGGGTGGCGGGTTTCGCACAGGCCCGAGCAATTTCAAAGCGACCGTTT